AAACATAAAACATAAAAACATAAAACATCTTTTCTGAAAGTTGCTTGATCCCGGGTTAAAACTCATCGTACAGACGCCCCTTCAAAAATCATGTTCCTTTTATATATCATTCCATATCTTTTTACCGTTTTCCATTTTCTATATAGCTTCTTCCTTTTTTTAACTCTCTTAATTTTATTCTACTCATCTCAGTTCAAGTCATAATACTTATCATTCTTTGTCTGTTCTCCACTATCCATTCATTTTTTCTCTTTAAACAAAACCTCTCCTGTACACTAATTGGAGTATGACGCCTTTAACTCTTTCCCCTAACCTAATAATACTTAATATCACACATAGCTTATATTGGGATTCTGTTTAGCACATCCTAAAGTCACACAATATATTATATAAAGAGAAAAAGAAAAAAGAAAGAACGACAATAACAAAGAGACAAATTTATAAATATATAATATAGCTAGTACCCCTGTCAAAACCATTTTAATCATACCTATTAATACTTATTTATATCTTAAACATTTTATTCTAAAAATGCCTATAATAACACAATCTTATGTACCTTACAGAATCCCTTTTTCAATTAAATTTACGCATTGTCTCTAAATAAATTTTGTTTCTTTAAATCTTGCTTCCCATCGTTGAGACGTCTCACCCATTCCTTTCTCCCTTGCTTATTCTTTTCCTTACTCTTTTTACCCGTTTGTCTCTCTACCTCCCTTTTCTTCTTCTGCTTTCCCCCTTCCTGTTGTTTTCTAACCTTATATCCACCCTTCAACTCATTTTTATCTTTTTTGGTTGTTTTTTTAGGTTTTAAAATCCCTTTTTCCTTTTCCTCTTCCTTGTTCTCCCCCAATAGAATCACATGTTCATCAAAAATAGTTTCTTCTTTGTCCCAATTATCCTGCTGCGCAATCAATTCTCCATAGGAATGCATCGCCATTTCTAGAGATTGAAAAAGAATATCCAAAGTGTCTTTCCAGTCTTGTTCTTTCTTTTTATATTTTAGATATTCAGTTTTAGATTCATCCAAGGGTGATGCCATTATAAAGAGGAATTTTTTTTTCCCAAAACAACCACCCGAGTGTTTTTAAACAAAGAAAAAAAGTTTCCCAAAAGATGCAGTCACCAAACAATCCAGATAGACTATTTCATTTAGCACTTTTTCCCTTCTTCCATTTCTTTTTCTGGGGTTGCTATTAAATCACAAAATTCCAATTAAAATATGTCTTTTTGAAGTCTTATTAATGTTCAAATGGCTCTTTAAAATTCTAGGCAGTCTGCTTCTTATTTTCAGTTTCTACTTCAATTTTTTTCCTCTCCCTTCCCACTCACAGCAAAAGAAAAAATTTTCTTTAAATATTTAGAAATCCATATCCCTTTGGCATTAGCATAGTCTTTAGCATTTAGCATACCTTCAATGCGGGTTTTCCAATTTCTCTCAAAGCTGTTCCGTTTGGAAGGAGAGTGAAAAGAAAAAAGTTTTCCCTTTAATATCCATTCGCTGCTTACTCAGTCTGGGAACAATGTGTCTTTAGTAGGTGTTAAATACCAGGATACTTTCACTGTTCCTTTGTCCCGGTCAGCGAAATCACTTTCATTTCTTCACAAACTCCTCCAGCACTTTCTTTTTCCGGCTGAGCTCTTCTATGTGGCAGCCATTAGAGACCGCCGCTCAGCTGCCATCAGAGAGGGAGATTTAGCCGGCTAGGGAAGAGAGATGCCATGTCCCTCGTCTCTGCCAGAACCCCCCAGTCTTCACCACCTTCTACAAAGGTGGCTTAGCCCCGAAGCCAAATGGCTCGGGGCACTCAGGCAGTGAACACAGGCAGAGACCGTGCACAGTCACGGATTCCTGCCTGCACCGAAGCACCACAAGTCGGAAGTGTCGTAACTAACAGAATCATTTTTAAAATCTAAATTAACCTGGACTTTATCATACCATAAATATTCATGCAACCCAAATGTTAGGTTGTGTCCCTCTAACTCCAAGAGCCTTCTTTTTTTCAGCAATATCCATTGTTTCATCAAAACTAAACAGCAAGTGGCAAAATATAATTTAAAATCAGGTAGATCCAATCCCCCTTTCCTTTGCATTTTGTAACACCTTATATTTAAGTCATGTTTTCCTCCCAGCAAACAAATATAGATATATCCTTCAGCCATTGTTTAAACGGAGCATCAATTGACAAATCAGATATTGTCTGAAACAAAAGCATCATTCTAGACAAAACTTTCATTTTTATCACAGATAAAAATTTTATTCAACAATTCTATTTGTTCTACTATTTGTTAATATATTTATCTTCTGTTTGTCAATCTTGAAACTTGCTCATGTAGTAATTTTTTAAAAATAGTCTATTAATGTTTCAATTTCCTTTAAAGGATCTTTCAAAATCAAGTCATCTGCAAAAATTCTTAACTTGTAAATGTCTTTTAAAATCTTTACTCCCACAATCTTCTAATCTTGTGTTATATCTCTATTCAATATTTCAAGAACCAAAATAAGAGAGGAGACAGTGTGCAACCTGATTTTATTCCTTTTAATATTTTACATGGTTTTGTTAGATCTCCATTAACAATTATTTGTATTTTCTGCAAAATGTAAATTGATTTCCCCCTCTTTATAATGTTCAAAATTAATATCTTCCAACATATTGAACAAGAAAGCCAGTTCAAATAATCAAAGGTCTCCTCTGCATCTATGAAAGTCAATGTGACTTATTTTTCATTATATTGTTCCAAATATTCCGAAATACCCAATGCATTTCTAAACACTGTATTTTAACTGTCTTTTAGATTAAAAAAAATCCCATTGATCCTCATGCTTGCAAAATTGTTTTCACTCTTAATAATATCAGCCTATAGTTTCTTATTCAAGTCAAAACTTGTCCCTCTTTAAATATTAGTTCTACTGTTGACCTCTTTCCAACTCTCCAACATCTTTCCTCCTGCAATATAGAATTCATTGTGTTTTGTAAAGGTTGTAAAATCCTTAAATCATGTATAATAAAACCTGATAATCCCCCATGGTCTAGACTCTAGGCACTCTTCCTGGTTTAATTTTTTTAAAGCTTCCAAAATTTTCTTTATTGTTATAAGTCCATTCATAACCTGTCTCTGTTCCTCTGTAATCCTTAGTAAATTTTGATTCTTTAGATATTCATCTATTTTCTTAGATGTCACTTCTTTTATAAAAATTGGAATAGTATTGATGAAATTTTGTCTGATTGCATTGTCCATTAATATAGTATCCCACTCTTGTAATTTCAGTATCGTTTTCTTTTCATAATTTCTATTTCAGCCATTTCCTGATTTATTTGCAAACTCATTTTTTAAAATTTACATAATTCATTTTCATTTCTTTTACTGTTAACATAGATAACTGTTGTTTTGAAAGCTTAATTTATTGAGAAATAGTTACTTTCTCTGAAAATTTCTTCATTTTTTTCTCTTTATCTCATCCAAAATAGCTTGTGTTTCTAGACTATGGATTCTAAAGCTTAAACCATCAGTAATTGCAAAATTAATTGGGCTCATAGAAAGGGGAAATTAGAAATTAAATACTTACCTATATACTTTTTACATCATAAAACCAACTTAACACACTCTGCTCAGTATCTTTTACTAATGCTTAATTGAGCAGTAATTGTTTAACCTCAATAGTTTTTTGTGCCATTATAGGTGATATTTTTGAAAATACCCCTCAGTTTTAAATAAAATAAAAAGGATTAATAATAAGACCAAAAAATAAAGCAAGCTTTGAGCAGTGTTGTATAGCTTCTTACAAGAAGGAAATAAATGTGTTTCCACATACTGTACATTACATACTCTATTGTTGTTAAATAAAAATTTAACGTAAAAAGAAGGGAGGAAGGAAGGAAGGTTTTATTCTTATAAATTTATAAGAATAAACTTATAAATACATTTATTCTTATATTTATTTATTTTAAAAACTTCTGAGTCACCTTGACTATTTGTGTTTCAGGACTTGGAGTCTTGGAGATATTGGTTCAGCCCCCATTATCTAAGTCTATGTTCAATATATCTAGATTATGGTAATGTAAGCTAAGTTTTTCTACAAAGGATGCTTATTTGCTTATAAATGTATTTAATGGTTTGGTTGTTTCTTAGAAAAATTTTGTATTATTGTTGGCTTAGTCTTTGATAAGACTTGGGAAACCAAAGGACATATCTGCTGAACATTTTCCTCAGTATTTGCCCAGCATCTTCCCCTACCTTATTTTATTTTAAATAAGTCTTTCGATTAAAAAATACCCAATGGGAAGCTGGGATGCTGCAAGGCAAAGCACCAATTTTAAGTTTAATCTCTATTTCCAAAAAGACTTGATCTACACATAAAATTGAGATAAAATTTACCTTCTTGGGACAGAATGTTCTAGGAAACACTGAAAAGTTCAATTTTTCTACCAGATGTGCCATACAGAGATGGTCTACTAGCTTCCAGAAATTCTTCACTATTTCAAGAATTTTACTGTGGAGTTCTTGTTGCTTCCTGAGCTTTGTTGTTTGCTTGCAGATGTTTTTCAGTGACCCACTAGGTAGCATCCTGGAAACTGCTAACTATGCCCCTGAAAGATCCGATCAATGCTGCTCTGAATTAAAACAGAACATTCATAGATAACAAAATAGTCTGGTTCTTTATTGTTCTTTGGTATGTGAGTGGGATTGTGATTGGACACACTCATCATGGCAATCTTTGTGTAAGAATATCTATAGCATAGTTACAACTGCTCTAGAAATGTTTATTAGCCCCAAATTTTCTCACCAGCCAGAATAAATAAGGAACCCATCTTATCCTGTGATTTTCAGTGTATAATCTCTGGCAATATGTCTGTATTTTAGGATATTGATAGAAGGTAAGAAAAACTGTATTACATGTATTTAAATCCAGGATTTCTCTATAGAAAGCTAAGCTTTAAAGCAATACAACTTCCACTATTTCTTTAAAGTACTTTTTTTTTCATTTTAATTTTTAATAGGTCCCTTGTTGGAAGTACTCCTGATCTCAGATATCCTCTGAGTACTATGGTCCATCCATCCACGGACCCCTTTGCAACACCTTCTAGTCTTCATCGGACACCAAAGAGCCGTTATGTGGCTCTGCAGGAAGAAGCCTCCAAGGTAAAACTCCTGATGTTTGCCTTGCTGCAAACAAATATCTAGGGGAAAGCTCCAGTTACGCCTGCATCTTGGAGTGCACCGTAAAATCTTTGTGTTGGCAACAGCTGCAACAGCTGTCTTGTGCTTTTAAAGTGGTGTGGGGGGCACAATGGCCTTTCGCTTGGCAGTGACAGCTGCAAACCTAAACCCTTCTAAAGGAAAGAGACTCCCTGTTGTGCAGAAAGGCTACTTCATTGGATGGTGGCCAGGACAGTACTTATGGGATGGGCTTATACAGAAGAAGGTGGTAAGATGAAATTTGAAAGGATCTTTGCCATTCTGTGAAATTTGGAAAACAAAGAAAGCTCTTAGCTTTTGTATTTCAATACTTGGTTGGGATGTGGTGTTGCTATTTAGTTTCTTATGTTTTATTTTGGAATTATTTTCCTCAGCCATGTTGGAGATTTGCCATGTATATATATTTAAATTATTTAAATTATTATTCGGAGTTCAGCAATCTGCTGAATACATATCAAATACATATTACTAACTTTGAGTAAAATGACAGATTGTGTTTCCATTGCTCCAATAAGATCAAATCTGGTCTGTAACCACTGTCCCGAGTCAGACCTGAAAAGATCTGAGATAAGCCATAGCTTATGGCCATAAATTCCAATACTGCTTTTGAGGCAGGGAAGCCAGATTGAAATCCTCCCAACCATAAGTCCAGTGTCAGCCCTGAGATGACTTCTAGCTTCTCAGGTTGTAAGATAAGCAATCTGGAACATCTGGAATGGATAAAATTGCTGACCCAGAATCTAAACTCATTATTTTAAGAATTGAGATTCTTGGTTTAGTCAACTGAAAGTCAAAGTAATCTGCCTGCTAACTTGCTAATTCAATATTTTCTTGTCTAAATTGCTGAGGGCTATTGTTTTTCTGTTTGTACATCTGTAACATTATGAATACTATTTTATGCTATTTTAAGTGGTTTATGCATTTTGCATCAGAGTTTTATGCTGCTGGTCCATGGCATGCCAGAAACTGAGCAGCGCAAACAAGCATGTGAAATCATACCCTCTCTAGTCCATGGAAAAAACAGTCTCCTTGGAACCAGTCCCTGGTGCCCAAAAAGTTGGGGGTTGCTGACTTAAACCACTAAAATTAATGTTGCACAATATAGTTACCTTATTATGAGTAAAATGCAGCTGTTTTCTAAGCCAGAATCTGTGCCCCAACCTGTACTCAAAAATCTGAAGCATTGAAGAACTATCAATTCCCCCATTCCCTTTTTTTTGTTTCTTTCTAGACTTCGTGTCTGTGTACGTGACTATTCTTTAACAGAATAGCAGAGTTGGACGGGACCTTGGAGGTCTTCTAGTCCAATCCCTGCTCAAGCAGGAAACCCTATGCCATTTCAGACAAATGGTTATCCAGTCCCTTCTTAAAAAACCTTCAGTGTTGGAGAACGCACAACTTTTGGAGGCAAAAATTCTTAACAAGCAGTCAAACCAAGTTCATAAGTCTAAGGAGAGATACATTAGGGAATGAGTAATGTCAAAATTACATCTCTGGCACAGACTTGTTCTTTTGCTTGGCAACAAGATGAAGGCCTGCGCTATATGTTATGCATTACTTTCAAATGCAGGAGATTTTCAAAGAACTAAATCTAATCTTCTGAAGGCTCTGTTCTCAGCAGAATTTTCTTGTTTGCTTAGCTAAAACACTGGAATCATTTAAATTACATACATAAAAATCTGTCATCTCAAACAGATATTTCAGCAAGATGGTGAAATTGCAATTATGTGGGAATCGTATCTTATGTGGGATACCTTGTGATTTTTTATGTCCAGGATTGGGAGCATGGTCCAACAAGTGGCATCCTGAGTACTTCAGCTCACACTTTTGATAGTGACCCGGAGATTTCTGATGTTGATGAGGATGACCAAGAGACAGTCTTCAGCTCTATGGATATGCTGTCTCCCAGTGGTCATTCTGATGCCCAGACTCTTGCCATGATGCTGCAGGAACAACTGGATGCCATCAACGAGGAGATTAGGTATCTACATCAGGTGTATATATTCTGTATATTTTAGTTGTTTTTGTATGTATTCAAGGATCAAATGCAAAAGTGTGTGACTGGTCTCCAAGAAATAAATTAGGAAGACATTATCTGGATTGATACTTCCAAATGTGTATGTGTAGATGATAAGGAATTCTGTGAGCGGTAATGAAATGTTTGAGAGAAAATATATGAACAGTTTCATTGGACTGCACCCTCCCAGAAATAGCACATTTATTTATCTTTTATATCATCTTTCCGAAGAACGTGATCTGGGTAACATAATGTAAAATCTATACTTTCTGTAATATATGAAGAGGTATTAAATGTGTAGTTTTAGTTTCTTCCTTTGCTCAAAAAAATGTTGTTGGAGGAGCAAACCAAGAGGAGATATTTTATGGAAAATTGTTTAAGGTGTGTGTTGTTGCTGTATTTTATTAATTTGTCCTGTCTATGTTCATATCTGTCTATGTATATTGTGTATTCCTGCTGGGGCTCAGCCATAAGTCCTGCAACACTCATTCTCAAAAGCATATGTCTTCTTTTTGCTTAAGATACTAAAAGAAAGGGAGGGAGGGAGGCTGAGAGGAGAAATCCATTTCATCTATTCCCAAGTAATTCAGCACCAGAGAGATTTCTTTGGGGAAAAATGGTTAGTGTCAGTAAAGTGAAATGGTATCATCGGGGCTGTGAAACAGTACAGTAGATTGTCAGAGAAGGTTGAGGGGAAGTCAAAGAACCTGGAAGTCCCACCCTAAGTGGTGTGTGTATGTTTGGCAGCAGGCCTCATTATACAGGCATATTGGCAATAGCTGTGGTGATGCTTAGCCAGGAACTAAGACCTGCCCAGCTCTTACTGGATGCTTTCAGCTGTTGGTATATATGCTATTCTGTACGCCTGCTGAGAATAACCTTCTATGGCCAGTTGGTTTGTGTAACTTGGTTGACATGACAACTGGTTTCCACAGGCAGCTGCCTGCATCATGCCTGGCTGGTGCTTTCTGAAATGCAAACCAGCTCTTACATGAATTCCTGTATTCACCATTCTTGTAAAATAGTGCTAGACCTGCTCAAAAACGTATCGAGTACTTGGGTGAAAATATATGTAAGTGTATGTGTATTTGAGTGCATTGGGAGAAGTGTTGTACAGTGATCTTCACAGCTAATTGTAAGAAAAAGTTATGTTGTTATGAGTGCAACAGAACAGGTTTCAGTTGAGATTATTTCTGTATTCCAGTCTGCTTTTTTCACCATGCCATTGACTTGTCAGCTGGTTTCTTGGAGTTCTTTGACATACGCATGCACATATACATACACTTACACATATCATACTCCCAGAACAGTGCTAGACAGGTGTTTAGACCTAGCCCAGGTAACAACCTATTGTTGTGGAACATCTTTCTGCTGGCCATCTATTATTTAGGTGACTTGAAGGATGGTACAGAATGTTTACTTTGTTTTAAATATGACCATTAAACTTAAAGAAGAGGGCCTGGTCTTTTCTTGGTAGGTTCCTATGATCCAATTCCATTGCATCACAGTGTTGAGGAGACTGATTGATGGTTGCTTTCCCTATTCAACAGGTCTCTATTCCCTATTCAACAGAGCAGAAACTTTGGTGGGGGAGGAAGTGTTCCATATTCAGCCTGTAAAGGGAGCATTGTTTACCAGCATAATTATAAAGGAAAAGAGATTGGCTCATGAAAAAAAGCTAATTAGGCTGGCATACTTTTGTACTACCCCAGAAACTGGAAGAAAGAATATTAAATATGAGTAGGTAGTAGGGAGAGATAGTAAACGTATTCTGGGTAGATCCCATTCTAATCGCATTTCGGAGGGCCTTGAAAATCTGGCCTTGGACAAAAGGATAAATCCAGACAACAGAACTCACCCCAGCCACCTGAGTTCTGTTGTTTGCTGGATTTACCATCTTATGTTTTCTTTGTCTATTTATTTGTTGTTGTTTTTTAGTGATGGTGTTTTTGAATTGTATTTTATTTTCTTTCTTATATTATGAGGTGATAGAGTTTGATGATACCAAATGAAATAAATAAAAATGATTGTCTGGATGAGTTCTTAGTTCAGTTGCCTTGGACCCGTGGGTTGTTCCAAGGGGACAGTTAGAGCATGATGGAGGGTAGTCCACAATTACTGATTGTTTCATGAATGAATGTTAGTTTTAATTGTTAATAGTCATGAGTCCTTGTGGAGTGTAGAGATACAAACATAAAAACAATAAATGTGAACAAAAATGATACCAAATAGGTTATATCTGATCCCAGATGAATCAACTACCAAGTCAGATAGAAGTTAATGAGCAATTTTATTTCTGTCAACACCTCAACCTCATGGTTGAAAGTTCATCACAAACATTTTTTGGCTCTGCTGCCTGCAAGAGTGTTTTTTTTTAAACTAATGACAAATCTGATTCATCAAGGTTTGCCTAATATCTTCAATGACATACAGAAAACAAATCATATGACAGTTTTAATTTTGTAATGGAAATTACATTACACTAATGTAGTAATAAATTTATACTGATGATTTTTCAGAAAATAACATTTAGCCATAGATTAAAATACAAGGAGGTTCAATGTATGGAGTCATTTGACCACATCACAATTTTGAGCTATTAAAAAAAAGTTGAATTTCCTAGCATTTTGGATTCTGAGAAGATTGAAAATGTGTACTATAAATAAGGAGTGCATCAGAACAGTTTTAGGTTGTATGGATAAATATTTCAAAATATTATTTTTAAAAATGAGCTCTTGTATTTGTTTGAATAAACCCAAGTAAGCCTAACTACTTAGACGGTTCCAGTATACAAGCATGCTATACCGAATTGCTCTGTGAACTAGAGTTGTGTTTACCATACAGATCTTGAATGCTTCTATCTGTCCCTCCTTATGAAAAATAGTAAGATCCCAGCTGAGATTAAATTATGATCTGGTCTAGAATGATCCAAGAGGAGAAAGAATCAACTGAACTACGGGCTGAACAGTTAGAGAGCCGTGTCACCAGTGGTAGCATGGAAGCCCTAAATCTGACACAGTTACGCAAGAGAGCATCCATCCCCACATCTTTAACTGCCTTGTCTCTGGCAAGTTCATCTCCTCCTGTCAGTGGACGTTCTACTCCAAAACTCACCTCTCGCAGCACAGCTCAGGACCTTGATCGGATATGCAGTATGACTCTGGTAAGAGTTGAATAAATAATAAAAAGTGTGTTCTGCTGGGAATTGGGATTTTTGGTGGGATGCTATGCTCTCTACAATGTTGCCATTATGTCCTATAATGGTCAGCTGCATTGCCCAACCATGAAGGCCTTTGGCATTTCTAATTTGTTTCTATTTAATATCTAAAGATATTTAGTCTGTTATTACAATGCCAATTTTTTTTCTCTTGACAAAGTCCTCCACCATGGCTGTTGCTCATAGTTTTTTTATCCCTCTCTAGTCCCAGTTGTATTGAACAGTGTGCCATCTGCTCCCGAGGGTAATTTTGAGCTAACTTTTACTGTTTTTATGTCAATCTTTTGACAGCCAAGTGATTTGAGGAAACACCGGAGGAAATTACTTGTGAGTCTGTCCCTTTCTTTGCTTTTCTTTGTAGATTTATATTCTTGCTCCTTTTCTGTATCTGTATTTTGTCATCTTAAACCAACACAGTCTGAGTTACAACATTGCAATCGTAGTCTTCCTAATAATAAAGTTATGGCTGAAAATATTTTAAAGAATAAAGCAATGTTTACTCTAGCTATTATTTGAAAATGTGTCATTCTCAGATGCAGATAAAATTTTACCATACTGTATAGCTCTAGTCCTATAAGTGGTTTTCTTTGTCCTACATATAGATATAAATAGTCTACCATAAATATAGAGCTATAAGTATTGCAGATCTTTTCCAAATTAAGTTTTGTTGCTGAGAGCTCATGTGTTCACTCCAAGCCATTCAGATCATAACAGACTGCTGCTGGGAGGTTGTAAGCAGTAGTTTGTTTATTTATATATAATGGATTCATATAATTAGTAGTTATATGAACTTATATAGAATCCATGTATCTGTCCTTATTTGTAAATTGTTAGAATGTTTATAATATCACACTTTTTCCAAGAGTGCATCTCCTATCAGTGTGAATAGATGTATGTATTTGGTTTGTTCATGTATGCTTCTAGTAAAGACATCTTGAGTATTTACTGGCATAGAAAGGCAGGGTATACATTAAACAAGTTAGTAAGTAAACTAATGGGTGGAAACTAATCAAGGAGAGAAGCAATTTAGAACTAAGGAGAAATTTCCTGATAATTAGAACAATTAACCAGTATAACAACTTGCCTCCAGAAGTTGCGAATGCTCCAACACTGGAAGTTTTTAAGAAGAGATTGGATAACCATTTGTCTGAAATGGTATAGGGTTTCCTGTCTAAGCAGGGGGTGGACTAGAAGACCTCTAAGGTCCCTTCCCACTCTGTTATTCTATTTTAAATTTTGAAATCCAAAAGTCCCAAATGCAGACATTCAAGATGCACTTAAGTATATAATATAGTAGGAAGTGTGTTAAAAAGTAAATTAGACAGAAAGCTTTCAAGTGAGCATAATTAGATATTAAAATAATTAAAGGATAAGATTCTATAGGGCAAAGAACAGCTGGACAATAAAAAGCACACACTTCTAATTTCCCATAACTATGTCACATTCCATAAACTACAACAAATTAGAGAATATTGCAAGTCTTGGGCTGTAAATAGAGAATATATTTCAACTAGAAAAACCTGATGATTCCATTCTCAAAATAAATTGGTTTCTGGCCAATTCCTATTTTAGAAGTGGTTTTTCTCTGCCAGGGGCTTATAATTTATTTCTTTTATGGAAAACTCTTTGCTCTTTGTTCCCGGGTGCTTAAATAATTTTACTTGCAGTGTCAAACTCTGTTTCTTTGCTGATTTACCAGTGATAGTTCAGAAATTTCTGAGTGAGAATTGTGAACATATTTTTATGAGGCAGTAACAGTGGCTTTGTTCAAGACCAAATTCTTGGAAAAACAGTGTGGTGTATTGATATATCTCCTGTATTTTTGTCACTTTTCTATAATTTTCACTTACATAAGCAGTGCTCCTTAAATTGTACTTCTGATGATTTTGAATAGACAGATTCTGCAGAGTACTTTTTCCAGTCCTGATGAGAGGGTCCCACGTTCTTGGTTTAGGTAGCAAATTATAAAAATCCCATCTGACAAAAAGTATTAGTGATTGTTATTTCAAGAATAATCCTTATGCCCATAGAGTACTACTTTGTATATGATTCATACAAATCGAAATAGATGAATTGCTGTTTAAATGATGGTAAGTCAGAGGCTCCTGTCCTGTTGCTACATATTACTGTCTCCATATTGTTAATGCATCACAGTCTGCCTCCTCCTTCCTGTTGCTATTGGCTCTTTTGCCTCATATTATTCCAAATAACACTCATAATTATAACTTGACCATTCAATCTTTTTGTTTGACTTACAGTGAGCAGTTATCCCCATGATATACTTGATGCCTCTCTTCTCCTTTAATTAATTAGCAAGTTTCTGATAAGCATGGTAAAGATTGGAGGAAAGTTTTTAGACAGGAATCTCCTGTCTTAAGTCTTAGTTTACCTTATCTGTTCAGTCACCAGCTGGTCGAGATGAGAGTCGAGAAGATAAAACGACCATCAAATGTGAGACTTCTCCTCCTTCTTCACCCAGGAGCCTCAGACTGGAGAAACTTGGACATCCTGCTTTTAGTCAAGATGAAGGCAAGAGGTACATATGTCTGGGAAGGAAACTAGCTGGCCAAGGACTATTATAGGCATATTATCCTGAGCACTTCTGATTTGCATGAACTTGTTCTGCTCCTAATTTATATATTAGCTAATCTGGTTGGACTCATTATCTAAATTAGAGGTCATTTTTTGCAAGCACCCCTTTGTTTCACCAAGCACTGTAATGTCATCTGCAAAATCCAAATCTATTAGATGGGCTGTTTACCATAGGATGCCAAAGCTGGGGTTATCCATCATTTTATTCATAATAAAGTACATGGAGAGGAGAAACAAGAATGGTGACAGTATACATCCCTGTCTTACTCCTATATTGATGTTAAAGAAGATTGTGTTGCCAGATTCCATTTGTACACAATTGCTGGAGTTATAATACAGGTTCTTAAAGCTGTTGATAAAATGGTGAGGAATACTATAGGACTTTACAATATTCCATAGTGATTTTCAATGAATTGAGTCAAACGCCCTTTTGAAGTCAATAAAATTAATTACCATTGATTTCTGGAATTCTAAACTCTGTTCAATGATATTTCTTAAGGTCAGGAGCTGGTTGTTACAGAAGCATCTTTTCCTGAATGCTGTTTGTTCTTCACATAGATGCTCTTCACTTGATGCTCCAATCTCCTGAGCAACACAAGGCATAAAACTTTTCCATTTCTAAGGACTGATAGCAATGTTATGCCCCTCCAGTTGTTACAATCACTGAAGTTTCCTTTTTTTATATACTTTAATAATGACAGAATGATGATGGATAGAAAATCTGTTAATGGTACCCTTATTACAGTATATAACATTCAGTGCATGATAGTCTATAACAGAAAATCTTGGGGTTCTTTTCTGGATTCTAATTATTCTAACTAAATAATTCTTCATATATGAAAGATTTATGCAGCTGTTAATATTCCACAGAGCGAATTTCAGATACACGTCTCAGTTGTGTTTTCTGTAGATGTTTTACTCTGCTATTCTTTCCCACAGACAGAGAGTAGCTGAATATGGTCTGTGAGAAGAACTAGGGATATTTTGAAAATTTGGGGGGGAAGATGAGGCTGATCCAAAGAGGAGGACCTTAACTTCACTATTTTTAATGACATCATGAACTTTTCTTTTCCACCCTTTTAGTTCTCTAGAGGATCAAGCAAGTAACCCCAGCAGCAGTAATAGCAGCCAGGATTCACTGCATAAGGGCTCCAAGAGGAAAGGCATCAAATCTTCAATTGGACGCTTGTTTGGAAAGAAAGAAAAAGGGCGCTTAATCCAGCTGAGTAGAGAAGGCACTACTGGACAAGGTAATTGATTCTTTTCACCTTTTCTAAATAAAGGAATTGCACAAATTTCGTGGAAGCTGACCATTTGTCTTTCTGTGTCCTTGGAAGAGCAGAAAATAATATGATGAAAACAATAAGAATAGAATGAGAATGGCAGTTAAATTTCAGTTTCCTTCAGTTTTACAAATTCCAGGATTATATTTTCATTTGATTCAATTGTTGAACATTTTAATACAATAAAATATAATAGCTGTAGGATTCATCAAAGGCATTAAAAAGAAATAATACAGGTCTGCAAAATCTATGTTGATGCAAAATGTATGTTGATAATTGATATCCCACTTATATCAATAAAGTGTTAGCCATTGGTCTATCAATATGATTTCAGTAATTGGATCTAGAATTTGAACTATGAATTATCAGAAGCAATGAACAAAGCTAATGACTTGATCCCATAGAACTCCTGGATGGATAAGGAGTGACATAGCTTGAAAGTACAATAGCTGAAGCAGAGGAATTGGCCAAAGGATGCCCTTGATTCATTCAAGTTTTTTATTAGGATGGAAGAGGCCATTTATACCAATGAGTCCAATCCCCTGATCAGTGTATGAATCCAAATTAAAGCATACTAAAGCAGCTACCTATCCTCTTGCAGCAGCGAATCCACATCTAACAGCTTTGGCATGTACTGAATAGATACCCAATACCCTTCTGGATGATTGATTCCACTCCTTATTTCTAGACTAAATATGAGAAATAGCAAGAAATGTTTATCCTTTTTAATATACAGTATTGGAAAGTGAGCACTAATCTTATTTCTAATCTTATTCATAAGTAAAATCTATCTTTTTGATTCCCTAAATTAGCATATATTATTGCACAGCAAGCTGTGAACAAAAACTATTGGATTAGAGCACTGGTGGTGGAATGAAAAGTTTTGAAGCAAGGAAGGACTAGGAGTACAAACATTTGCAAAAGCATGCTATAATTTAGCAGTCAATGAGAATGACAATGTAGCATGGGGTATACAGAATTATCCACAGAAGCTTTCAATAACAGGAAATAAGGTCTTGGGGATCCCGTAAATTAGTGTGTGTGTACATCATTGGGTGCTCTGTCATTCAACCCACTTTCAAAGAATGGGAATGAATCCATAGCTGATAGTAGTCTAATTAGGCTTTAGTAAATACAGTGATGGCAAGGAGTCATAGACCTGGATGTTGAAAGTAATAATTTAATGAGACCAGCAGAAGGGAAGGCTTAAATCCTTTCTTTCTTAATTTTTTCATAATCCTGTCTATCACACCACAATAAAACAGTAGTTACCAATATACATGATGAAAGTGAGACTAGGTGAGGAAGAGAGATAATTTTATGATTGCATATACTTAAGATTTAGTGTATCGTTGTGGTACTCTAAAAAGAATCTTTTTGTCTATACTGTTGGATTCTCATGGCTACTGTCAAATAGCACATCTTCAAGCTTAAATTAAACTAAGCAAAGTTTGCTACTCTTGACAGATTGAATTACTCAGTTAAAATTTCTTGATATCAAATTGAATTTCCTGAGTAGGCATAAATTGGTATTTATTTTTGAAGTTTTTTTTAAAAGGTAGTACTATTATATATTATGAGGAGCATCTAGTCTAATTCTTCATCTATTGTGTTTCATAGTTTTGCTAACAGATTCAGAAATGAACATACAGGACTCGCTTGGTCTTGGCAAGCTAGGAGCACAAGCAGAAAAAGATCGACGACTCAAAAAAAAGTGAGGGAAGTCGTATTTACTTCTTCATAAATATTGTAGCAATTAGTGGAAATTTATGTCTTCATTTGGGTATACTCTTGATGAATTGCGGGTCACTGTAGAATATTTGGGAAATATTTTACCACAAGTTTTCAGATTGATTGGACTGAATTATTATCCTAGAATAAGCTCATTTCTTCCCTGAAATAAATTTTAACTGCTTTGTGAGAACTATTCTGTTTCCTTCTCCTGAAAGAAACACTTTATAACATTTTCAAGTTTCTTAAAGAAACTAGTTGAATAAATAGAAAGATGGAGATATTCATGGATGGCAGTTTAACAAGAGAGAGGAAGAAATGAAGCTTCCTGATTCTTATCTTTCAAAGGCTTTCTTCTCTACACTGTGAAACTTATAAAAGGACTATCACAGTTTTTCAGAATAGACTTGCCTGTCACTATCTGGGCAAGTGATCAAGACATATCTTTTTCAGAAACTTCCTAAGAGCCTATTCAGTTAAAACAAAACCTGGTTTAATTAAAAATAAAAAAATATATTTCCCTAGATTTTTTTATAATCAATGGTCCAAGTATCACATCTGGCACCCTAACCATACAGCAACGTGCCCGCTACCGTGTACTCTGCACAGAACTCAAAAAATGTCTAGACAATGGATAGAAGGATCTGTACATTGACTACCGTGCTGACTGTATCAAAAGTAAGTCACACAACCCGCAACTCAGTTTTAACCTTCAACCACAACCCTACTTCAACCAGTCCACCATCACCCAAGACTAGACATGCATGCCCCTAACTACCTCAATTCCAACTACAGCTGGCCTTAAATGCAAGCTACTCAATGCAAGAAGCCTTGTGAATAAAATACCTGAATTTCTCCTCTTACTAAATATGGCTAAATTCAACATCATATTTGTCTGTGAAACATGGCTCAATGCATCTGTCCATGATTCCATTACCACAGTAAGAGACTATCATGTTCACTGATCAGATTGTGAAATTCGTAGAGGAGGTGGTGTTGCTATCTTCTATAAAAAGTCCTTACATCTATAAAACATCCAAGTTACCTAGGAGCTTTCTCTTCCTGAGACCATCATCTGTGAACTATCCTTAAATATCATATTTGGATTCTTACTATGTCACAGAGCACCTGATTATGACATTGAACATGTAAACTAGCTAAATTCACTACTAACATGGGCAACATCCTGCCCACACGCTTTTATCTTTCTTGGTGACTTCAATCCATCTCATATTAACTGGACCCTAAACGAATGTACAACTGAACCCATACATGCAACCTTCTACAATGCTGTTACAAAACTGGCACTAGAACAACTAGTACAATACTAGACTTAACAACTGCCTCGATCTCATCTTCTGCAATAGTTTGAATTTGATTTACGGAATACAAACTAAAGAACCCTTTTCCAACAATGACCACAATATGATTAACTTTTGTCTCAACATACGCCCACACAAAAATCCTCACAATGATGTAGTCCCCAATTATAACTTCAAAAAAAGCAACTATGATCTTATAGACAACGATCTCTCATCCCTTGATTGGCAATTTCTATTCACTGGATGCAATACTGTAGAAGACCATTACAACATATTTTTCCTTGAAGTTAAAAGAGTCATCAAACTATAAGTACCATTAACAACTCCCCAAACCAGAAAAAACAAATTACCCATAACAATAAGGAAGCTTCAATCCAAAAAGAAATCATTTTGGCGGAAAAACAAATCTGGTCATGTTGCCGACTTCAAAAGCCGATACAAAAATGTATGCTACCAGATAAAAACTGAATGCACCAATTATCACATTAAACAAGAAGAAAACCTTCTATGCACCAATTCTACCAACTCCTACAATTTTGTAAACAACAAACTAAAAGACTCAAGATCCATCCCACCCCTGAAAGGACCTAATGGTAAAGACTGCAACAATGACACTATTAAAGCCAATATCTTTAACACATTCTTTGGCTAAGTATTTGTAAATAGCAATGGATGATGCCCAGTATTTCCTAGCTGAACCACAGAAAACTAAAATGATCTAATACACATCGATTTTACAGAAGACAATGTTGAAAAAGCACTATGCAATCTAAAACCATCCCTATCTATTGGACCAGATGGAATATGTGTCTGCTTCTTAAAAAAAGCTATCCACTGCCATAGCAGAACCTCTAAGCATAATCTTTGAAAAATCTTTCAGGACCAGCTCCTTGCCTAACCTATGGTCACAAGCCACGGTCATCCCCATCTTCAAAAAGTGAGACCCCAGCTTAGTTGAAAATTACAGACCAATCTCCTTATGCTGCGTCACCTGTAAAGTCATGGAAACCAATCCATTATCCTCCACTTAGAGACAAATATCCTACTCTCTAATAAACAATTTGGTTTCAGAAAAAAACTATCCTGTAATCTGCAACTCTTACACTGCAAAAACATATGGACTGTACAACTCGATCAGGGCAAAACAATAGATGCAATCTACATAGACTTCTGTAAAGCCTTTGATTCAGTGGTACACGACAAACTACTCCTAAAACTAAAATCTTATGGTATCTCTGGACAACTGCATAACTGGATAGAAGCATTCCTGTC